ATGTATTGACTAGTTGTAAACAGATTTTGATAAACTCTATCTGCCCTTTATTTTGTATTAGTAGAGCTTGAATGACTAGCTTTTACTTGTAAGTTTTTACTTCTCACCTTAAGGTGTTTTTTCACATTAAAATATTTGTATCTCTTTGCAAATTGTCCTTACCATTTTTTATTGTTGCTCTTCGTTGGTTCTTACAATTTAGGGAAATTATTTATGTTGCATACTTTGATACTTATTCATCATCTATTATTGTTATTTTCCTTATTAGAGTGACATCAGAGCTATTTGGTTTAGGGTTAAATTTGCTTGTTTGAATGATGGAGACAAATACAAATATGGGTTCTTTGAGTGGTATAAATTATACATTGTAGAAGGAAAAAAAATGAAATATTTATTGTTTGGGAAGAAATTGAATCTTCTAGTCTTTACTACTCAGAAGTCGAATTCTATGTTTGAAAAATTATGGGACTTTGAGCACTAATAAGTGTGTGGTTTTATTCAACAATATGTAAAAGATAATATTTATAATCACATTGTAAACGAGATAAATGCTAGAACTTTGGGAGAAAATTAAGTCCTTATATGCTTTTAAGTCAAGTAACAATAAGTTGTATTTGTGTAACTACTTGATAAATTTGAAATACAATGAGAGTTCTTCAATTCCAAACTTGAATGCGTTTCAAGGACTCTTAGATCAATTGTCTAGAATGAGTATCAATTTTGATGATGAATTTCTAGGACTTTGACTACTGAATATTATACTTGAGTCTTGAGACATTTCGAGGTTCACACTGGTAGGAAAAATATACTTAACATCGATTATTTAACATATACTACATAAGTTCTACAATTGATGTAGAATCAGGTGATGTAGAAAGTGAATAATTTTCTACATCAGTTCCATAATACCCGATGTAAAAGAACATACTTGGGAGGGAAACAAACATGTTTCAACTCACATATTCCTACTATGGTGGTGGCTTAAGAATGTGTGACTATTGTGTTGGTGGTCTTGTTATTGTTACCGTTGGAAATTGTGGAACAAGTGCAAAGTAATGGTGGAGTAGAGGTAGAGTAGAGATGGAACATTGACACTATGTTGGAGGTGACACTACAAATAAAGACCAAAACTTTTTCTAGCAGTTTGTGGTGGTGATGCTTCTAATAGTGGCTCGCAGTATCAACTGGTGGTCATAGGTCATGGATGGTAGTGTACGTCATGGTGACAATGATAATAGCAAGTTGCATGAAGAAGAAACAATGATGTGCCCACACAATAAATAAAGGACCCATAACAAAGAACAAAGAACTGACACATAGTGGAGGCATTGGTGGTGGAAAATGGTAGTAGCAAATGATGGTAACATAACAAGGGCAACTAGGGTTTTACATTCGCGACACGGTGGAGTGACAACTTTCGTTCGCAGTTTTAAGTTTCGCGATGCAATAGAGTGAGTAGGGAAGCAAATTAAAATTTTAAAAGGGATATCACATCATTTGTCGTAGCAACCGATATAATATATGAGATACTACATTGGTTACATGTGTAGTTCATGGAAGACCAAATCATTAAAGATATTAATAAGGTGGAGAAGACTACACGTAAAAAAGATGGTATTCTAACTAATGATAATCTAATGTGATTGCCTTTTCACAATCTAAATAATGTAAGATTGATGCTCAAAATTATGAGAAACATAGTGATGTTGATGATCAATAGGTTAGAAATGGATTAAAGGTTTCAATAGGTAATGTTTGAGAGTAATAGGATATGGTACATGATGATGATCTTGATGATGCACTTGCATTATCATAAGTCCTTACTAGGAGGTCCAAAAAATAGAGACAATCATATTCTAGGTGCTCTTATTAGTATGTGACCTTGACAGATAGTGGGGGGAACCTAAATGTTCTAAAAAGGCTTAGGAAAATGAAGTAAAGTTACAATGGTTGGATACAATGCATAATAAGATGAAATGTTTGCATGATAATCACACTTATGATTTAGTAAAGTTGTTTATGGGAAAAAAATGTCTTAAAGAATATGTGGATATTAAAGGTGAAGCATTAGAGTAATTGTACTTCTTCGAGGAACAAAGTCATATTAGTGATGAAAGGTTTTAGATAGAGAAAATGTGTTGATTTTAATGAGATTTTTTCACCTATGGTGAAGATATTATCCATCATAATTGAGCTAAGTTTAGCTACTACTCTGATTTAGAGGTTAAGATAGATGTGGAGATAATTTTCTTTCATAGTAATGTGGAGAAAAATTTCTTGATGATCGCCTGGTATTATATGGTGATGACATGCTTATTGTTGAAAATAGATGTTTTCAAAATTACCAATTAAAGAAGCAACTAGGCAATTCATTTTCCATGAAACACTTGAGAGTTACTAAAAGAATTATTGGTATAAGTATTATGCATTATAGAAAAGAGAAGAAACTTTGGCTATCATAAAAACACTAAATTAAAAAGGTGTTGTTGAGGTTCCATATGACAAAATTCTAAAAGTAGAGTGTTCCTCGTGTGACTCATTTTAAATTGAGTTCTTCAAATGAAGCTAAGAAGATAAGGATGAGCAAAGTTCCTTATACATTTGTGATGGATAGTGCAATGGTACGTACAAGACCACATATTTCATATATTGTTTGTACATATAAACGATTTTTGTCAAATCCAGGTGAAAAGCATTGAAATATTGTGAAATGGATTTTGAGACATTTACGTAATACTAATGATTTGAGACTTTGTTTTAGAGATGAACTTACTTTGGTGGGTTACACAGACTCATATACGGTTAGAAAAATTGATTCCATAAAGTTCACTTTAGATTATTTGATAAGTTTGCAATGAGAGTTGTGCCTTGGTAATCAATCCTACATAGGTGTGTAACATTATCTACTATAGAAACAAAGTTCATTGTCATTAATGAAACATGCAAAAAGTTGTTATGATTGAAGAAATTCATGCAGGAACTTAATTTTGTACAAGATAACTATCCATTATTTGTGGATACTCAAAGTATTATTCATTTTGGTAAGAACTTAACTTTTCATTCTAAATATAAACATATTAATGTGAGATATCATTGGATATGTGATGCTTTAAATATTAAGTTGTTGGAGTTGAAAGAAGTTCATACTAATGATAATGATGTTGATATGGTGACTAGGACAATACCAAGTTGGAAGCTTGAAGGTTGTGGTGAGATTGTTGGATTAACAGTTACATCCATATAGTTGTGAAAAAGAGATGTGCTGAGATTAAGTTCTCGACTATGTGTTTAAAAAATTTAAACTTATCAAGTTCAATTTGTCTATTTAACCTAAGTAAATAAGGATCTTTTAGATAATCAGATATTACTTTTGTTGGAATTACTTTTGTTGGAAGAGAGAAAGAAAATTGTAATCCCTACTTCATTCATTGTTGGATTAAGTTAAAAGTTAGACAACAAGATCTTAATGTAGTGTTCTACATTTTGACAGTTGGAATCCTAAATTTAATATATGGATTGGAAAAAATCAATTTCAACAAGGTTTATTCATTTATTTTTTAAATTTAAAAGTTTTATTGCAATAATATATTGGTGGAAACACCTTTTATATTTTTTATAAAGTCTATGTATCATCCATTTTATCTTAATAAAACTTGATTTCCTAGTTTGTTGATTTTTTCTTCTCACGATAAAGTTTTACTTTTAATTGAGAAATCACGTTAAAATATCATTGTCTTTTTACAAATTATCATTATTATTTATTTGTGGTATTTGTTGATTCTCGTAAATTAAGAAAATTATAAATTGAAAGTTTCTAAAACGAATAACCGAAACAATGGATGGTGATTTTTAATACATTAAACAAATAGTTTTAGTTTTAGAATGTATTTGTGTCACATTTTCTATTTAATTAAAAAAAAACTTCAATTTTTCTGTATACAACCTTTACCAATCGAGTCTTTTTCATCGTACATATAAACAGTTGAGTTTCTAATATAATTTTAATTTAATTCTTATATGTGTAACGTTTTGATTTAAGTAAAATATGGACTAAATAAAAATACGCTTTGTACAGAATCAAATTACTTAACAATGTTTATAAAAGTTTATTTAAAAGTTAGTAAGAAACACTAGTACAAAATATAAAATATATAAATACAAATATAAATATATTTATATATTTATATGTTGGATGTGAGGACGTGTCTCGAGGATGAAAGTGTGTGTCGAGTGAATTTTTAAAATTTGATGTCAAATTGTGACCTGATCTCTTTATATGGATTATAACATAATGACAAAATATAATCTTTTATAATTTATTTATATAATGATATAAAATAAATTTTTTTCTTTATTTTATATCATTATATAAATTAATTATAAAGATTATATTCTATATTATTATAAATAAATTATAAAGATTATATTCTATCATTAAATTACAAATTCATATAAAGATACTTTGCTCACAAATTTGACATCAAATTTTGAAAATCCACTTGACACACACTTTCACTCTCGAGCATGCTCTCACATCCAACATATAAATATATAAATATATTTGTATTTGTATTTATATATTTTATATTTATATATTTACATGGATATACATTTTTATTTGTATATAAATATAATTTATGTATAAGTTATTATCAGAAAATCCTAGTAAGCTTAGTGGTTGGAGTATCGGTCTCCGACTAAACCGATGTTGAAAGTCTTGAATTCACTTTCTACATCGGTTCTTAAAGAACCGATATAGAAATGCCGATGTTAAAAGTGATTTCGTTAACATAAACTATATTATAATATTACATTATAAATATAAAACTTTTACATTATAAACCGGTATAACACTTTTTTAAATATAAAACTGAGTTAAGAACTCGTTATACGCGATTACATTAATGATTATTTTTTAATTTTAAACTAGTAATATGTAGCCTGAGCACAGTACATATATAGCTAGCTAGCCAGTGAGGGACAGAGTAGCTCTCAAATTTTCACATGTCTTCCGGCCAGATTTCTAATGGGGCAATAAATTCTTGAAGTCTATCCTTTACCCTCGTGGTCTCTACTCCCACTCTTGATATTTTAACCTGAGACAACGGACCAAAAAAAAACTCATTCAATTAAGTAAAATATAAGAACTTGTATAATTAGTAGGTAAGAAATAATAATACACAGGAAATATTTAAATACTAGAATGCATACATTTTAAAGTTTGCAAACAAAGAAGAACATTTGATCAGGTAATTGAATTGTTATTAACTTATAAACAAACATTTCAGAAACTGAATTTTCCACATTCACTTAATTGGTTTATTTTCTATTAAACATGCTTATGGAAATGAAGGACAAAAGAAATAAAAGCGAGTTGTAATGAAAGGTGGAAGCAATGTTTAGTTAATGGAAATGTAGTTTAACGAAGAGAGGCCAAGGAGAGAAAAAAGAGATGGTTGAATAATATTGTACCTGAGCATGGACAACGTAAAATATCTTGTCGCCTATAGTTGAGAAGCTTGCAGTGACAACTTCAGCACCTTCTTCCTCAAGCACGCTAATTACTTCGTACAACATGAATGTCTTGTTTAACCCACTCACCAGCATCACTTCGATGCCGGATCCCAAGTCTCTAAGCTCGAGTATTGGCAATTTGGTGTCAATGTTTGTATCCATCATTTTTCTATCACTGCTTTGGTTTGACATGGCTTGCTCCTTCTGCCTCTTCAATTTCTCTATTCTCTCTGTCATGTGTTTTATATACCTTGCTGCAAGATCGAGCTGGTCCTGCTGCCCTAGCATAAACTGAAAACATTCATTTGGGTCATTAAGTTTCATATATGTTTGGTATAGAATTCATCAAACAGTTAGGAATGCGATATTTTGGAAATTTGAGTTCATGTCTTGGTCCATGATTCATGTTCAAAATACCTTTCAATTTTCCCATTTGAATGTGAATTTGAGAATCCAAAGTCGAATGAATCATGAGTGTTCATTTTCAAAGTCGAAGAAAAGAAAGACTTTTTTTTTTATCTGAAAAAGAAAGTACTTTGAACTATCCCAATTGACATAAAAATCTATGTAAAAACTGGGTGAAGAGAATGAATAGATGAGAATTTTTTATTTTGTTTTGTGGATACCTTGGATTTGGTTGGTTTGAGGTTGGGAGGAATAAGGGAACCAAGCTGATGGCAGAGGGATTTCATCTGAATTCTTCGGTTTCGTTCGATGGTTTTGCGATCAAGTTTAGAGAAATCACTGCTGGTGCTTGCTAATCTCTTCTTCATCTTGATCGATTGTGAGGTTGTTTCATAAATTGTCTCAAACAAAAGGGATGATGGCTTGTGATGGAGCCAGCTAATGAGATGAGAGAAGAAATTTTGATGAGTCGGATATGTTCAAGAATTTGAGGTGGTTTATATAGAGATAAATTTTGTGGTCTGTGGCTGTCCTACCTTCTAATTAAGATAAAGTTCTGGCAGACTTTTGGGTCACACACCTATGGAAGTGCACGTGGATTACTTTTATTATTTGTCAGTATCGAATTATTAATCCAAGTGAGTAATAATCAATATTTATGTTTTTTATAGCGTGAGATTTGATCAATAATCAAACAATAACAATATTAATAAATAATAATAAAATAGAGAAGAAATACAAAAATACAAAAATATAAGAATATAAAATATATTTTATTTAATATTTATTAAAAATATTAAATAAATAATTAAAATTATAAATATATATACTAACTATTAAATTAAGATTAAAATTGTAAATATATCAATAAATATATTTAAATTAAAAGATTAAAATTATGAATATATAATTATAAAAAAAATTTCAATTTCAAGAAAAACAATGCTTGTATGGGTGGTTAGAAATATAAGTTTCACAACTAATTATGATACAATTTTTTTTTAATTTATGCTGCTAATTTTTATTTTTATTTTTCATTTAAATTTAATTACAAAATTTATAAAAATATTAATTTTTACCATTTAAAAAAAATTTATAAATTTTTAATAATAATAATCTTATTTTGTATTTTTATTAATAATCAGTTACAATATTTCATTATTTTCTCTTTTTATAATAAATATAATCTAAATAATAAAAATATAATTAATAAAAAAGTTAATGTAATTTTAAACTTTATTTATTATATATATATATATATATATATTAAATTGGTAACTTAAAAAAAAAGGAAGAAAATGTTTAAAATTAGAGTTGATGTTGATTGGTGTCATGTTATTATTCTTTAACTTTAATGTCTAATCATTCACAGCTTATATGAATTGAGGTGATTTAGTGGTAAAAATAGTGTCCTACAGCTATGCCAGTACTGTGGATCCTAATGCTATCCCTATTTGTTAAATAAGTCTGTTTTTTTTTTAGTTTTCATTACTGCACTTATCAAGAATAAAACAAAACCATGGGACACTGCTTGTTCCACTAATACATTTATTTTTAATGTTTTAAAACTTGAATAACACAAGAAAAAAATGGTATGTGAAGAATGAAAAAAAAAAATTCAGTAAAATGATCAATATATATAAATTATTGGTGCATAATTAAGATAATTAAGGTTTGACTAAAACAATTAAAAAGAATTAAGATTACTTATACGATAGATGTGTATTATAATAAATGAGATTATTTAAACACTACAAAAAAAAAGCTTATTATCTACGGGTAAAATCTGTAGGTAATGACAAAAATCCGTAGGTAATGTCACTTTACCTACGGATTTCTTTCCGTAAGAAATCCGTATGTAATTTGGTCGTAGGTAATTACCTACGGATTTTTTTCCGTAGGTAATGCACTCGCTGTAATTACCTACGGATTATAATCCATAGGTAACAAAATATTTTTATTGACTACAACCCCCTCCCTTATTTTTTATTATTACCTAGGACCCCCTCCCCTTTATATTATATTTTTATTATTTATTATATTTTCGAACTTTGAATTATTATTGGATTAAGGGAATTGTCATTGGCAGGATTCGAACCCAGCACTCGAAGTTGGAGGCTGATACTCCAACCACTAAGCTATTAGGATATTTTGATAATAACTTACAAATAAATTATATTTATATTTATCCGTGTAAATATATAAATATAAAATATATAAATATAAAATATATATAAATATAAAATATATATAAATATAAAATATATATAAATATTAAATATATATAAATATAAAATATATATAAATGTAAAATATATATAAATATAAAAAATATATAAATGTAAAATATATATAAATATAAAATATATATAAATATAAAATATATATAAATATAAAATATATTGATATATTTATATATTTATATATTTATATATTTATATATTTATATATTTATATATTTATATATTTATATATTTATATATTTATATATTTATATATTTTATATATTTATATATTTATATATTTATATATTTATATATTTATATATTTATATATTTATATATTTATATATTTATATATTTATATATTTATATATTTATATATTTATATATTTATATATTTATATATTTATATATTTATATATTTATATATTTATATATTTATATATTTATATATTTACATATTTATATATTTACATATTTATATATTTACATATTTATATATTTACATATTTATATATTTACATATTTATATATTTACATATTTATATATTTACATATTTATATATTTACATATTTATATATTTACATATTTATATATTTATATATTTATATATTTATATATTTATATATTTATATATTATATATTTATATATTTATATATTTATATATTTATATATTTATATATTTATATATTTATATATTTATATATTTATGTATTTATATATTTGTATATATATATATATTTATATATTTATATATTTATATATTTATATATTTATATATTTATATATTTATATATTTATATATTTATATATTTATATATTTATATATTTATATATTTATATATTTGTATTTATATATTTGTATATATATATATATATATTTATATATTTATATATTTATATATTTATATATTTATATATTTATATATTTATATATTTATATATTTATATATTTATATATTTATATATTTATATATTTATATATTTATATATTTATATATTTATATATTTATATATTTATCTATTTATGTATTTATGTATTTATATTTATGTATTTATGTATTTATGTATTTATGTATTTATATATTTATATATTTATATATTTATATATTTATACATTTATATATTTATACATTTATTTATTTATACATTTATATATTTATACATTTATTTATTTATACATTTATATATTTATTTATTTATATATTTATATTTTTACACGAATAAATATAAGTATAATTTATTTGTAAATCATTATTAGAATATGCTAATAGTTTAGTGGTTGGGGTATCAGTTTTCAACTTTAAGGTACTGGGTTCGATTCTTGCTAGTAGCAATTCTTTTAGTTTAATATAATTTACCTACGGATAGTAATTTCGTAGGTAATTACCTACGAATTACCCACGTCCGTAGGTAATGTCATCCGTAGGTAATGTCATCCGTGGGTAATTCCGTAGGTAATGTCATCCGAATTATCTACGGATTACATTACCTACGAATAATATCCGTAGGTAATGGATAATTACCTACGGATAGAATTCGTAGGTAATATCCGTAGGTAATGTAAAATTTACCTACGTGATTTTTATCCGTGGGTAATATCCGTAGGTAATGTAAAATTTACCTACGGATTTTTATCCGTAGGTAATATCCGTAGATAATGTAAAATTTACCTACGGATTTGTATCCGTAGGTAATATTCGTAGGTAATAGGCTTTTTTTTGTAGTGAAAATTAAAAATAAATATATAATAACAAAAATAATAATAAAATAAATATCTCAAATATTTTATTTAAATTATATAAATTAACAATTACGTAGTTTTATTTAGAATAATTTAAAATATTATTATCATAATTAAGAAAATTAGATTTTATTTATGTGTAAATTATCAATTATTTCATGACAAAAGAAAAAGTGGTTTCGGAGCAAGGAAAGTCAAACCGGGAAGTGCAATGTGGTTTGATGAAAAAGAAGATATGAAAGCAAAATAAATCATTCCAAATCATAATATAATATGATTCTTTTATAACTTTTTTTCCTTATGGACTAAAGATATAATTAATTATGAATTTTTTATAATTTATAATACAAAAATATTATAGAATAGAAATCCTATATCAAATAAAGATATAATAATATAATAACATATATCAGTATAGTTTTTATGTTACTTAATTAATGAATAGTTTGTAAAAATATAATAATGTTTACTTTTGTACAAATACGTGAAAACTTTTACAAAGAAAGTTAAGGTATTGAGAATTTAGAAACACCGCGTTGACTTGATCTGTTTCCGTTCCTGATTTTGACAATAAATACAGAAGATGTAGGAATGTCATTAGAGTAACTCATTTCAAGATCAGTGAATAAGAAGGCTGAACCACACTCACGACTGTACGTCTTTTGACCATTTTATTACAACCACCACACGTACCAAAACCGTGGTTCCACCGACCACTGTCAACCTTTAATATTTATCTTTTTTACCATCGAACTTATAAAAAAATAAATTTGGGAAAAAATAAATAAATAAAAGTGAGATTATTTAAATTAAGAAAATAAAAAAATGTAAAAAAAAGTTTATAAAAGTTGATGAACAATTTAACTAATATGAATGATAAAATAATATTTTAATAAAAAATTAAATATTATTAAATTATTTGTTTGATAAAAATTATTATTATTATTATTAGAATTTAAAGTATTATAAATATTTGTATTATTTTAATTTTAATTAGTAACATAATAAATATGACAATAATAATAATAATTATTTTTATTATTATTATAATAATAATAATTATTATAATTATGTTTATTTTGATTAGTAACATATAAAATATTAGTAACACTTTTTTTAGTTGTCGTTTCTTTGGTCAATGACATCTACAAATGCATCATGTTTAGTACTCAATTCTCAAATTGAATGTTTACGACATCAATTACTGAGACTTTTTTTTTTTTTAACCTTGAGATGAGGACATGCCATGATGAAATGAATGGAGTTGGATTATGGGAATCCATATACACTACAAGAAAAACACCAAATAGTGACCGAAATTAGTGATTGAAAAATTCAATCATCGATAAGTAATCGAATCGATGGATCGATTTCCCTTTTTATATTTAGTGACTCGATTT